GCAGACGCTCTCCTCACTGTGGCTCCGAGATCGAATTCAGAGCGTCAGTCTTGACCACTAAAACGTATTAATCATGCATCATTAAAAGTTACAAACATGAATGTTTTTCAAGGGAGAGAAGAACAGATTATACCTCTATTGATCAGAGGACAACTGATCACAACACTAAATCACACGAGAACTGATCACAGATCAATGTATTACCCGACAATTGATTACAGGATAATTAAATCATTAAGAAACACATCAATAAGGACGCAGCAGCACCCGTCATCAGTCAAGCTGTAACAGCACTGGACAATCGGTCTCTGAGAATCCGGTCACGCCTGCGGATGACAGTATTGCTGACAATGCTGTTGTTTTAATGGATAATAAACCGTCGTCTGGAGATCGCGAGGAGCAGTGGAATAAGATGAGAAAATCCAGAGTACTGCTGAAACCGAGAACGCCCAAGGAGCCAAAGGAACCTAAAGAGATCAAGATCGAGAAAGAGAAGGTAACCAAGGAAAGTCAAGACCCCTAAGAGAAGGAAAAATCGGAATAAAGAGGGTCGTGAGAGTTCCAAACGTGGTAGGAAGAACATTATAGTTTCGGATTCAGCTAATGAAGGGGTTGGGAATAAGCACGAGGATGTGTCCGAGTCTTCAGCTGTGCATGACGCTGATGTCAAGTGAACCTCCAATACAGGATGATCAGGAATTGGTGGATTCTGCGACGACTGAACCGATACAAACGGAGGGTACGGAAAAGGATGATAACAAGATTTTAAATTCTCATGATATCAGTATATTATAGAGGATTCGATACAAAAGAGAACAAAATAACCTTTCAATGATTATAGAGAAACGTTGTGAGCGACCCGCGTTATCCCAGGACGAGAGCACCGTATAGAGACGAGCATCATAACGATATTTTCTGCGCTTCCGTGTTCTAACTGGATGACCAGCATTGAATTGCTCCCAGCTCACATCTAAACGACAACTGGAATCGAGTGATTTCAACAACTAGAATGAAATAATACTTCTTAACCAACCACAGGAAAATTCCTTTAGAAACTTCCGATTTCGTTCACAAACATGCTCTACGGAAAAAAAACCCACAATATAAAGGTATCTACTAATCGATCTTATTCTTTTCCAACAACTGTTCCCATTTATTTCTGCTATTAATCTTTAAAAGAATACTTGGGGTCATAGTGAAAAACATTCCACGTACAACTCCAAAATTGAGGAACCGACATGACGACCTCGCTGCAGGTTTACTGCCTGCTCATACAGGGAGTAATCACAGATGACCGATTACACGAGTAGAGGCAATTCAGTACCCCACCCGCGCTCGACCTGAGAAGAATGCAGCTCATAAGAAAAGTCACCGGAGAATGGACAATCTTCACTAGTATTACATTACAGGAACTATACAGGGTGTCCCAGAAGTACATGCTGATCCGAAACCAGCACGTACAGGGGGTGATTCTGAGCCGAAAAGTCCTTCTCCACTTTTGGATCAGAAGCACCCGCTCGGATGTATTGGGGTAAATAAAAGAGCTAATAACGCTGCAGCGTTAAGCGGCAGTACGTCCGTGCGGCTTCGCGCTTCCATGTGAATGATGCCCATTCCAGGCAGCGGAATACGGTTCACCGTTCAAGCGTGAGCGACAGAGAGAACGGATGATAATTCTCTCTCGTTCTCTCGCATCACTCCACAGAAATGTTTTTGCAGTTATCTCGTAAACCATTGAGTTTTGAGGATTTTCGCATTGATTATTATTTGTTGCAAATCGAATTTGCAACAAAAAATAATCAATAAAAAAATCCCTCAAACCCTATTATTTCGATTTAGGAGATAATTAATGATTAATAAATGACTAGAGGAATGACAGTGGGATCCCTCATGATTTTTGTAAATCGTGAGCAGTATAAACGCTATGCAATTATGAATTTTCAACCAAAAATAATATACAAAAATAGGAGGCATTTTCTCACATCGATTATTTTTATGGAACTCGATACTCGTTTTTTTGGCATCTCTCTTTCTACCGATGATCTCGCTTGCTTTTCTCGCACTCATATGTTCACGCCCGAACGTCTTTTATTTTCCGGATTTTCGCAGTGTTTCTCGTAGCTGTCATCATTCGTTTTAAGACAGCCGTGTGTTTATCATCGTTATAATGGTTCATTTTACGGCAGCAGAAACGCGAATATGATGGCTGTGTACGGGGTTGCGGGGGGAAATGCAACAGAAGCAGCCCGACCGTATCCAGAGCAGTTTCCCAATCGCATGGTTCTCGATCCTCGCATGGTTCTCGATCCTCGCACGTTTCAGTGTGCATTCCAGCTGCTGACGAAGGCTAACCTCCTCCAAGGCACGGGGAAGGGCACCGAAGACGTGCGGATCGTGTCCAGCTGGAGGAGGCGATTCTCCAGAGCGTCGATAAGACTCCGGAGTTTTGCGTCCGGAGTATTGCGTCTGCCCTGGGCGCCACCCGTTCCACTGTTCATCGAGTCATGAGGATGAAAGGTCTGCATCCGTGGAAGTTTACCCCGGTCCAGGAGTTGAAGCTGGAGGACTAGCAGGAACGTGTGAACTTCCGTCAATGGTTCCTTGACAGAAGTCGCGGTCCAGATTTCATACGCAATGATGATGGGAAGCTTTCCGTGAGAAAAGGCAGTGTCAATCAGCACAATGAGCATCATTGGGCTTTTGCAAATCTCCGTCTCACGAAAGAAACGAATTTCCAGTATCGTTGGGACAATATGAACATTCAGGGAGGGATCATTGGTGACGAAGTCCACATTCATTATCTTCCAGAACGTCTCGAAGTAAGTAATGTTTGTTAGTTACTCTGTAGAAAATGATTCTTCGAAATTTATGTTGATTTTTTGTTTCAGGATGGCAATTACTTGAGATTCTTAGAAGATCGCCTCGTAACTGTCATCGGGGACGGTCCTGCGGAGCGAGATGTGTGGTTCCAGCACGATGGAGCTCCAGCTCATACATATGTCGCCGTCGTCAACCAGCTACACCCGTTGTGGGGGACTCTGGACTCACGCATCTACGCTCAGCATCCAGCGAATCAGAAGGAAGTAGTTGCATTACTGCACGCTGCAGTTGCAGCCATCACTTCAGACGAGCTGGAAAACATGAGGGGTAATCTTCTGAAGAAGGCCAGGCTATGTGTCGATACAGGTGGAGGATACATCGAGAACCTGCTTTAAGATATGCCTGCCTGCCTGCTATCCTGTTCCGATAGAGAAACCTAAATCGGCCCTTTTCAGGGCCACCACAACAATTCCAACGAGGAGCCTCATCCTTTTCCCTGCCTTCCAGTCCTTTTGACATATTAATTGTCGTTGCTGACGACTTCCGGAAAATCACCAGCCACCCCCTTCGCATTTATCTTACAATTAATTAATTACTAATTATCTGACCACTGATAAAATTCGCTAGTCGTCATGGTATCCGAGATAATTAACAATTAAACAATTGTCTCAGAAAAGGAACAGGCGATCACACTGATTTTTGGAATTTTTCCGAAAAACACGCTCTTCTTCAATTATCTGATAAACAATAGGGTTCGGGGAATTTTTTTCATTGATTATTTTTTGTTGCAAATCGATTTTGCAACAAAAATCATCTGTTTGGTGAGGTAACAGTTGAGTAGGGTGGATCGGGAGGTTTCAGGAAAATTGGTGGATTTTATAAAAAGTGTTAACACGCGGAAATTATTACACACAACGATTATCAATTTATTAAAACGCGTGGTCAATTTCAATGCGATTTGTACACTATTTTACAGTTGAATGGTTGCTGTACAAGTTGAGTGAATTGATGTACGTGTTGAATGTCTTGATGTACAAGTTGTGTGAGTTGAGTCAATTGTTGGATGATTTGGTGATCATGCGCATTGAGTTTCGTTGAGTTATGTGGTGATTTACGGAATGGATATCGATGCTATGCTATCGACGCTATGCTACCGATACTATCGATGCTATCGCGTTCACTGGTAGAAACGAACTGGGTCGTTGAAAGGGGGTGATTTGACTTTTGAAGATTTGCTGATGACCGTTGACCGAGGGGTCACGATCGTTACCGGATTTTCCCGATTTATATTTTAGGTGAAAAGCCACCCATATTTATCTCCATTCTAAACATCCCGGAGGCAATTCACCATCGGATTGGTGGTGAATTTATTCAGTTGATTCATTGCTGATCTTCTTCTGCGTTGATTTCTGGTGGGTGATCTCCTGGTGGGTCTGTGGTTAAGAGACAAAGCTTGGTGATAGGGCGATCCCAGGTCCTGACTCTCGTTTCGTACCTCTCTGGATTAGGGGTACCGTCTGCGTGCCTGGATACTTCAGAGTAGGTAGTCTTCACCGTTGCTACTCTGGTGAGCCCATCGGCTCCTGGATGAACAGCTATAACCCGTGCTAGTGGCCACCTTGCTGGTGCGAAGTTCTCGTTGACCACTAGTACCATGTCTCCAACTTTGATGTTTTCTTGTCGTTGATTCAACTTGTAGGCTGCCAGGTATCGTTGGAGACATTCCTTGGACCATCTTGACCAGAATTGTTGAATTTTCTGGGTGATTAGATTCCATCTATGCATCTTGGATGGGTTGTTATTCATGTACGATGGCTCTGGGATGGGTTGAAGTGGCTCACCGATCAGGAAGTGTTCTGGGGTGAGCGCTTGAAGGTCGTCTGGATCGTCAGACATTTGTGAGATTAGCCTGGAGTTTAGGAAGGCCTCGATCTGGATCAAGAAGGTGTTGAGCTCTTCGCAGGTGAGTGCCCGTTGTTCCCAGCGTTCTTCTCAGGTGATGTTTCGTAGATTCCGCAGCTGGTTCCCATTTGCCACCGAAATGGGCTGTTTGTAGTGGTATGAAGCTCCAGCGAGTTCTATTTGTGGCACGTGCAGCTTGGAGTTGTTGATTCTCTGGTGATTCTCGATTGTAGAGTTGATGCAGAACTTCAGCGGCGCCTTGAAAGTTGCCACCGTTGTCACTGTACATGACTTGTGGGATTCCTCGTCTCCCGGTGAATCTCTTGAACGCTGCAATAAATGCGTCTGTGCTTTGACGCGTGACCAGTTCCAGGTGCACTACTGATGTAGCAGACAAAGACTGCGATGTGCACCGAGGCTGGTTGAGAATTTGTTGGTCTCCACTTGAGAATGGGCATTGGACCAGCATAATCCACCCCTGTTTCGATGGTGATACTGTTGATGCGGAAAGTTGCCCCATCAGCTGTTGAGCTCGTTGAGCTCGATATCTGGTACAGATGACACAATGAAAGATGTGAAATCGAATTGTGCCTCTGCCGCCAATTATCCGGTATTTTTGGCGGGTGATTGCCAATGTGAGTTGAGTACCTCCGTGAAGGTTTCGTCGATGAGCTTCGTTGATGACCAGTGTGGTGAGATGTGAATGACGAGGCAGGATGATTGGGTGAATCTTGTCATGATCCAGTTGAGCGTTTCTGAGCCATCCTCCAATTCTCATAATTCCTAGCTCGGATTGGAGTCAGCTTTGCTAGTGGATTTCCCTTTCGTAGTTGATGGTCTCTCCTGAGGATTCTGATTGCTGCAGCAAAGAATTGGTTTTGAATTAGTTTTACCCAGAACAGCCGAGCCTCGTTAAGTTGTTCTGGTGTGATGAGTGGTGTCTGGGGTGTAGGTTGCCTTCTGAACCTGGTGACTGCTCTGTTGACGGTGGCTGTCACTTGAAGCACCTTTGAAAGTGTTGAGTATCTCTCCAGCACCTCTGCTAGAACATTGACGTTGACCTCACCTGCGATTGGGTGAGCTGGTGTTGGTTGTTCCTCGAGTGAGACTTCTGAATGGAGGTCGATTGTAGATTGTGGCCACTGATCTGGTTCTTGGTTTAACCAGTCAGGTCCTGACCACCAGAGTCGATGGTTGATGAGTTGATTTGTTGAAATTGCCACAATCTGCTGGAATGTCTTTTCCACTGACGTGTCTCCAGGTTGCTTCTGGCAATGTCTCTTGGATTTCTGCTACTCTGTTGTGGACAAATTCCTTCCAGCGTGAAGGATGACTGGTGATCCACGCTAAAGCAACAGATGAGTCAGACCAGAGGTGAGTATCGACGATCTCGAGTTCGAACATCTGGTGAGTTGTCTTTACAAGACGGGTGAGCAGTAGTGCAGCGGTGAGTTTGAGGCGAGGGATGATCATTTCCTTGAGCGGTGCCACCCTCGTTTTTGCACATACGATGATTGTTGGGGCAGGCTCGTTGATTTTCCTCCATCTGATGTAGACTTCGGCACCCATTGCCGATTTAGATGCATCAGTGAACCCGTGAAGTTGAACGTTGATCGTGTCTGTTGATAGTCTGAGCCATCTCGGGATTGAGATCTGATTTCCGCTCGTCATCTCCTCATAGTCCGTCGGCAAGCGATCATCCCATTTGAGTTTCAATCTCCATATGAGTTTGAATCCCGGTCGATCAAAGATCTGAGCGATCTCTGATAGCACTGATCTCTTGGTGAACGTCGTTGACGTGAAGTTCTTGGCCTTATATTTAAAGGTATCCGTTGATTGCTGCCAGCAAAGGCCTAAGACCTTGATGATTGATTCGTCAAATTTTACTGGTGAGTTCTGCGGTGATAAACCCAATTGTTGGAGGGCTTCTGGTGAGTTGCTGCTCCATTTTTGGAGTGGGAAGCCACCGACTTCGCAAAGTCCTTGCAGTTGAGTAGCGATTTCTTTTAGTTGATCGATGGAGTCGGCACCGCCATAAATATCGTCAACGTAGCGACCTTCTTTAATAAGTGTCTCTACTGCTGCTGGGAAGCGGTGACCTTCATCCTCCCCCAGTTGTTGAAGGACTCTTAGTGATATCCATGGTGAACAGTTGAGCCCATAGGTGACTGTGGTCAGTTGATAGGTGATTTGTTTATTGTCTTCGTTGAGCCACAAACTTCGTTGAAGATCCCAATCGTCTTGACGAACTCGAATTTGGCGGAATATCTTCAGGATGTCCGTCCCAAAAACGAACTGGCATTTCCTCGCCGACGCGAGGACGTTAACTGCATCCACTTGCAGTTTTTCTCCTGTATAGAGAATGTCGTTTAGCGATATTCCCGTTGAGCTCGCATTGAAGCCGTTGAATACGACTCTCCGTTTCGTGGTGATGGCATCGTCTCTCAGGACCCCATGGTACGGTAGATAGTAGGCTGGGGATGGTTCTGGAATCTCCAGTGCTTCTTGAAGGTGATTGAAGTGTTGATACTCTTTGATGAAGGCCTTGTAGAGAGCTGAGTATGCCTCATCTTTGTGCAGGCGTCTCATTACCGAGTGTAGTTGACGTGTTGCTTTGAGCCTTGAGTCGCTGAGGGCTGTGGCTGAGGTTTTCAGGGGAAGCCTCACAACATAGCGCCGCGTCTCGTGTCTGGAGTGCGTCGACTTGAAGTGCATCTCTAGTGATCCTCGGCTGATAACTCATGGCACTCCGGTGATTTGTTGATTTCTTCCTGGATCTAGAATTTTTGGAGAAGCTCGAGTAACTATTCGTTCGCGGAATTCCGAACTGCAGTTAGGGAGATTCTCGGTGAACAGCTGTGGCAGTTGATTGAACCTGATATTTTCCAACCAAATGCTGTTTGCTGGCCAACTAGTTGTGTTGATGTTGATTTGATAACTTTTTCTTTAATGATCCGCCCATAGTTGTCTGATCCGACGATGATGTCGATTGGTCCAGGCTTCAGATAATCTAGATCGGCTAGTTGAGGATCCTGTAGTAAGCCAATCCTGGTCGTTGAACATGAGAATGATGACAGTCGTGTGTTGAGTTTCTTCAAGATGTGTGCGGTGATTTCGACTCGTTGATTTCAGATTTGAGGTTGAAGCCCGACTGACACAACTCCTGTCGTGGTCCTTGAAGGTATTCCACCGATTCCGATTAGTTCGAGAGTTGGATGTGCTCGTTTCAGGTGGAGTTGATGTACTAGATTGTTGGTGATGAACGATATTTCCGAGCCTTGATCGATTAACACCCTGGCATCGATCAGGTATCCTCGTGGTGATGCTGCTTTTACTAGCGCCGTTGCTAGCAGCACAGATGGTTGCGTCGATTGCCGTTGATTGTTGATGAAGGATGATAATTGTTGATTCTCGGTGATTTTCTCTTGCGCACTGATCCTCTGGTTGTCGAGGTTCACAGTTGCAGTTGATCTCTGCTGATGAGTTGATTTTTCAACTTGACTCAGCGGGCGTAAATCCCCTCAGTGGTTGTTGAATCGGTTGATTTCGTTGATTGATGTGCTGTTGGTGATACGGATCAGTGAGACGGAGGGCGAGTGGTGAAAATATAATTGAAATCCACTCACTCAATTGCTCTGCCGTTGATGTGGACGCTGGTGTTGCCGGGTTCAGCTCTCCAGCTTCTCCACGTCTTCCATGACATCCACGTGTCCTCCATGGATCAGGGGGTGGTGTCTTTTGTCCTGTCCGGTAGCCTTGCACTTGTAGCAGGTCTTCCGGCAGGTGCACTTGCTATGTAGGTGAGATCCCAAGCAGTTGTAACACAACCGCCTGGTGGCGACAACGTCGAATCTTTTGATTGGTGATGATGCGATGAATTTCTTGTAACTGGCGATGTAATTCCCTCCTAGGCAGAAGGCACAGCAATTTCTCGGGAGGCGCCTCGTTGAGGTCTCCTTTGCCCTCTCCGTCGTTGATGCCACGTGTGCAACTCTTCTCCTGTTCGGTGCAGGCGGTGATCGTTGCGTTGAGCTGCTGGTCGTTGAGTGCAGCTTGTCTCCAGTGTTGATTCCCCTGGCACATGACTCGATAAAGTTGATGGACTCCTCGAGCGTTGGGAAATCCTTGCTTTCTCCGAGTTTCAACTCCCACATCTTCAGGGTGTCGGAGTCGAGCGAATGTCTCAGCAGGTGGACAATGATCTGCTCGAGCAGCTTGGACGAGTTGAGTTTTGTCATTTGAGGCAGCTGGTCGAGGGTTTCTGTTGCAGCTGCTGCGTTGGCGGTGAGGTTCACTGCGGTGGCCTTGGTGATTTCCGGGAGTTTTAGCACCCTGTTGAACAGCGCCTGAGCGATGAGTCGTTGATCCTCGTATTTCTTTACGAGTTTCGTCTCCGCCCTTTCGTAATTATCTTCCGTGATGCCGAACGTTGAGATGAGTGCTGCAGCTAACCCTTTCAGCGGGCCCTAGAGGCGACCCAGCTTCTGCACTCATGGCATGTTGGGGTCACTCTCCACCATCGAGAGATCACTCCAGTTTTTCCACTCGGAGTATCTGCCGTCGAATATGTTGAGTTCGATTCTCTTCCGTTGATTGCTCGACTGTGGAACTGATTGAACAGGTGAAGTTGTGATTTCCTTTAAACCATTAATTCGTTGTGCGTAGGTGAGACACTCGCGGAAAATGGTTCAGATGCGTGAATGGTTAAATTTACATGCAATGTTCAGGTGCGTATTAGAGGATGTTGACGGTACGAATGGTTTTTGCGGGGTCCCAAGCTCCGTGGAGACCCTCGCGTCACCGATCCGATGAACCCCGGAAGTGTTCGAAATTCATCGATCAGCTGTCGTTGAGTTGGGGAGCATTTTTTGTGTATACTTTAAACAATAATCAATGAAAAAATCTTCAAAGCACAATTGTTTACGAGATAACGGCAAAAACATTTCTGTGGAGTGATGTGAGAGAGCGAGAGAGAAGTATCATCGTTATAGCACGCCGATGAAGATACATGCTGATGACATAACTCAAGAAGACTGGGAATCTTTCCGTGATCACATGCACCCTTTCGAATCCCAGGAGACAACCGACCATAAAAATACTTCTCAAATATCGTCACGGAAATGAGTGACATCTATGAATTCTCGCTTAATTTTACCGCGAAATTGTAAGAAATATATGCAAATTCAAGAAAGAAACCTTCGATATTTACTGAGCATGCAACGGCAGGACATGTCAGCTCTATCGTCGGACTCCAAGTTCAAGAAATCATAGTTTCTATTTGTAGAGAATGTGCTACGATTTGGTCGTGCATCATTCAAACAATTCTCCGAGCGAGACAACACGCAGCAGACAGACAGACAATGCAAGAAAGGTTGCCAACATTAACGCCAGAACTCTGAATGACGTCAACATGGACAGAGCACCGGCTATTGGTCCAAACGATGATCAAAACCAGAGTCCAAATGTCATACACCTACAAAGCGATTCATCAACCCCAGTTAAAGAGGATGCAAATGAACTGACGTTGTCAGATGACGTCCTCAACCTCTTAGGAGTGGTTCCAACCTATGAACAATCCTGAGGGCCTGAGGTGTACGTAGAAATCGCTGAACGCTGGTCAAAAATCCTGCAAGAGGGCTTAACTAAGGAAGCTCGCGAGGATTATGTGGATAAATATCCTTCACCAAAAAAATGCCCCTCTCTCAGAGCCGCCGAATTGAATCCAGAGATTAAGTCAGTTGTCAACCAGCTAGTGTTGAAGAAGAATTTTTTCCAAGGACTTATACAGACTCAGTTGAGCACTCCCCTTTCAGCATTGGGTACAAGCCTCATGTGGGTTATTAAAACAAAAGAATCATGCGAAAAATCGGTGATAGATAGGAACTGCACACAGTTAATCTGAGCCCTCAATGACTCGAGCTGGATTCTTGCTGGTTTACACCACCAAATCTCTATCCAGATGCACGATGATTTTACCCTCATTGAGCCCAATAGTAAAAAAGGCTATCAGTCACAATAGAAAGATAGATAACTTACACAATGCAGAAAAAAGACAACCGTTATCTTTGTCGTTAACAGTAAGTAAGGCCGAGGGACAGGTGGCAGGACGTTTAACAAAATTTTTACCTCAGTGGCAAAAACTAACCTCCGATCCTTTTGTTCTATCTATGGTGAGGGGCTATAAAATCCCTTTTCACCGATAGTCCCGTGCAGCGTCGACCTCCCTCGGAGCCTAGTTTTCCATCAGAGAAAATAAAAATAGTCTCTACAATAGTAAACAGCTTATGTGCAGAGCAAGTCATATCGAAGCGTCTCCCATGTGACGGAGTTTCTGTTCTCTTATTTTTTGATAGACAAAACAAATGGGGATAAGAGATTTATCCTTAACTTAAAAAAAATTTAATAAATTTATTGAAGCACCCAAATTTAAGATGGAGGATATAAGAATCGTAAAACGTTTAGTAAATAATGACTGTTATATCGCAAAGATCGATTTAAAGGACGCCTACTTCCCCATCGCAATCTCGGAAAGCCATAGGAAGTATTTACGATTTTTTTTCCAAGACAACTTATATGGATTCAACTGTCTTCCATTTGGCCTCAACACTGTACCACAAGTTTTTACGAAGACACTAAAACCGGTGGCTAATGAACTCAGATCAGAAGGAAAGTTATCTGTTATGTATTTGGATGATTTTCTATTACTAGGAGATGCAATAGAGGATTGCGAGGTCAACGTTGAATCGACATGTAACTTATTACTGGAGTTAGGATTTCTACTGAATAAGAAAAAGTGTCAATTATTTCCTTCCAAGGCTATGAAATTCTTGGGCTTTATTATTGATAGCCCAGTGCCTTGCATTCAGTTACTAGATAAAAAGAAGCACAGTGTCAGGTCCCTAGCTAAAGGTTTTATAAACTTACGAACATGTAAGATCCGAGACTTCTCACGATTAATTGGAAAATTGATATCCGTTTGCCCAGCTGTGGAATACGGACCGGTTCATATGAAGAGTTTAGAACGAGCAAAATTCATTGCTCTGGGACATAAATTAAATAGCTACTCAGCAAAAATGGAACTACCAAATTATATTCGGGAGGACATTCGTTGGTGGATTGACAATTTACCACTAGCATCTAAACTGATTCGGGGAGAAACTTATACTTTAGAAATATTTACAGATGTGTCCACGACCGGCTGGGGAGCTTTTTGTAATGGAGAAAGAGTCAGGGGTCTTCGGAATAATGACGAAAGAATCTGTCATATTAACCAATTAGAAATTACTGCAGCTAGTAAGGGCCTGAGATGGTTTACCGGGAATGTAAGGAGTTGTCAAATTCTCCTGGGAGTGGACAACATCACCGTAATTGCATGTATCAATAAGAGAGGCAGTGTTCAATACCTCAGGCTCGAGAATAGATCTAAGGATCTGTGGCAATGGTGTGAGAGTCAAGATATAATAGTCTTTGCCTCATACATTAAATCAAAAGATAACGTTGAGGCGGATGATGAGTCACGAAGGTTGCCTTCAGAGACAGAGTGGGAACTAGCCCCGGAGGTTTTTAATATAATCAATATGAATTTTGGTCCATTTCATATAGATCTATTTGCATCGAGTGCTAACAACAAATGCCCGACCTATGTATCATGGTTGAAGGACCCAGATGCCTTTGCAGTCGATGCATTTACAATCAATTGGGCACATTTATATTTCTATGCCTTCCCTCCCTTCTCGTTATTGCTGAGAGTTTTACAGAAGCTCATCACAGACAGAGCAGAAGGTATCTTAGTGGTTCCACAGTGGTCAAATCAATGCTGGTATCCTTGTTTCCTGAGCCGTCTAGTAGAGGAACCGCTAGTATTTTCCCCATGCAGAAATTCCCCAGGTAAAGACAGTCGAGTGTCTTCGCAAATTTCTTTAAATTACCAATTAGAGAAGACACCGAGTTCGATCGATTATACAATTCTATTGGTCGACATTTGGGTCCGAAAAATATTCGCTTCAACACCACACAAGCTTCAAAATCATGTGGTATTTCCCTCCAGAGTTCCTGCAAACAAATAAAATCATCAAACTTTTCAGGAAAAATCGCTCGTGTTTCGCGTTCATGTGTTTTTAACTTGAAAACATTGACTTCTTCATTTATGTGCGACGAACTTTTTGGGAAATGCCAAATAATTTTGAAGGTCTGCTGGTAATATAAGGGAACATTATTTTCTAAACAGTGGCAAAATTTTGAAAATTCCAACATATAAAAAATATGAGAAACCACGATAATTTGGGAATCATGGCAGAAACAAAGGGAGGTTGCAAGCTATTCAATTAATTTCACCTGGGGTAGGGCGGTAAAATCTTGAGAATTCGAAAAATATTAAAGATGAATGGAGTCTTTAACATTTGGGAATCATTGTAGAAGGCAAAAGAGGTTGTAAATTATTGGACAAAATTTGCAATTTATGAGACCAAATATAGGCAATCATAATTCCTTAAAGTATCAAAACCCATAATCATAATAACATGAGGTATTGATCATGCGAGTCTACCTTGCTCCAATAATTTCGACTATGGATTCGGAAATAATTTTCTCGAAATTCTACACGTATTTCGCGAAATTTCTAAACAATTTTGATGAATAAAAATTGGCGGATATGAATCTTTCGAACTGAACCGGAACCGTATCGTCTAATAACAATGCAGAAAAATCCCGTGGATACATCGGTGAAAATTTTGCCGATCTCGGAACAATCGACAGGCCGAATATTCTCCTTCTGGCTTCCCTTCTCGGATAGGATTCACCATACATGAGAAACGGACCGCGGTTGGCCCACGACAGGTCCGGTGTTGGCACAAAGCTGCCAGTACCGGGCCAAGTTTGGCCTATCCCTCGTTTCTTATCAGGGGTCTCACGGGCTGGTCAAGTGGTGGAGAGTTCGGTTCTCCCGATCGCTTCTCAGACCAAGGTGACTTGCACCAATGATGCAATGGATCCGATGGAGTCTACAAAGTGTAGATTTACAAAATTAATCATAAATTGGCGTCGAAATGAGAATTAAAATTTCCGTTCGGAAATTCGCGAGTGAGAGGACTCTCCGGGAGGGTTTTGCTCACACGTTAATTTACTTAACGAAACCCCTTTACTTAACGAAACCGAAAGACCAAAAGACAAAAGAAAGAACAATAATATGCGGACAACCGAGATCATCATAATAGTAGTACTAGGCCAGTATTGAAACGGAGTGTAACTATCCGAATTGAATGCGTACATTTACGAACATTAATGAAGTCGGCGTACAGTCGAGCACACAAACTTCCGGATCGTTGTAAATATACATACTACGTCATATTTGGTGAACAACTAGAACTTCGTTGACCTATTCAGGATTTGAAATCAATCAGGGTTGTGATATGTTCAATTCATTTTTGAATTTTGGTAGAGGGTACGTGGGGAATTCATACAAGAGAAAATAAGAAATGTTACAAAAAAAAACTAGAAGGAAGAACTGAAATTTATTTTTCCCTCACATACCTCCGTCTGGAAAATAGCCAAATTATTCCATAGTATTCCGAATCTTTAACTGCTACCTCTTGAACGCAATGGTATAACGGCCACTTCCGACCGAAAACAGGCAAACATGCAAGGAAAACATTGAGTACTACGCCAATATTCACCAGGTCCCTTTTGAGAGGGGAAACTCGATGTCAGACCGATTTACGCAAGACGAGATTTTACCTGCATTCTCCAACACCAACATTTCTCGACCCATCCCAGACTCAGCTCACCGCAATAAATACATAAAGTTATCCGTAAGTTGATGATCAGTTCGGCCCATGGACTTAACTCAATCCCCTTAATATTTTGAAACATCTCCCCCGGGAAGCACCAGTTCTGCTAACGATATCCATCAACTTCTGCCTTCTCCTGCAATACGTTCCATGCGCCCGGAAAGTTGCGACCATCATCGCAATCCAGAAACCTGGTAAACACCCTACCATCCTGGCCAGTTATCACCCAATCAGCTGATTATCAATCCTCACGAAAATTGCCAAAACAATGTGTGATGTCCAAAAACCTATATAAATAGTTTTTCCTGCAATTTCATAAATATTAAATACCTTTTTCAATTTCATAAATATTAACTACTGTAAATACCTTCATTGAATATTAAATTCCACTTTCAATAAATGAGTCCAATTTCACCATCACGGAAATTGAAAATGCAAAATCATCAAAAATTAATTTCACCATACACGTGAGTACATTCGCCTTTGCGCCAGAATGACACATGTCAGGGCAGTGAACCTCACCGGCGAAATCACGCGCTATCAAAATTGCTGAATTGACAGGTCAATTCCCTTCAAGAATAAAAAGTGGGAA